CAGGTTTTGAAGGACATGACCCACAAAAAGAAGTCTCCCTTCAGTAAAGCTGCCTATGTAACAACACAGTCTTTACTACTTGTAAGAGTTTTTATAACACAGCGTGAAGTCTTGCTGCAGAAAGAGTTTTGTTGTGATTCACTGACCAATATAAACACCATGTGATTGGAATGAGACATTACTTAAAAAAATCCCTCAATATTTATTGAAAACAGAACACTTAGTATCTGCTGATTAGGCACTTGCAGGACTTGGGGTTACGTTGCTTATTTCTTCACAGCTTACACAGATCCAGATCTAAAAATCCAGCTAAAAAGACAGGTCATAGCTTTAAGGGCCAATGGATTCAAAGCGGTGGAAGTGAGATGGTAATTTTCTCACTCTAAACAAATACATTAAATGCCATGTGAAAAATAACTCTTTAGCATGGAGTCTTCATATGTATCATCCCTTTAACATTATCACATACATCTTATTTTACTATCTAGCTCTTTGGTACCAACCACAAACTTTATATCGCCCAGTTGAGCATAACAGAGCACAAGCACGAGTAAAACAAAAGGAACTAACTACTTTTTCTTTCATTTCATATGTATTGCAAAGTCTTAAGTGACAATATCTCTTTTGAATGACATGTGAAGTAGATACTGAGTGGCATCCCTGGGTGCTTTCATAAAAGTAACTGCAGTTTCATCTAGATTCATTTGGATAATTACATGGCCCAGATGTGAATTTAGCCTGTTAGCTTCTTCTGTAAGAGTTCTTGTTCAATTCTGCCTGCCAACCTTTTCACATTTTCCCCCTTTCAGCAGTTACTGAATTTCAATGGTAGTTGAAATACAAATTTATCTTTGGGGAATCAAGCACACAGAAGATTGTGACAGGGTAAGCTACTATTTGAAAGTTGTATCTAGCAAGATGAACCTGTATTTATTTAAGAAATGCATTAAAAATGTGCTTCTCTCATGACTTTTTGCACTTAAGATTTTTGCAGTTTAAAATCCAGCTTTACTAGAATGCTTACTTTATATATTTAATAACATCACAGAAACATAGAAAGGTTTGGGTTGAAAGAAACATTAATAATCATAAAGTTCTAAGCTCCCTGCCATGGGCAGGGATGTCACCCACTAGATCAGATTGCTCAAAGCCCCATTCCATCTGCCTTGAACACTTCAAGGGATCCACAACTTCTGCAGACAACCTGTTCCGGTGTTGCATGTTTTCCTTCCGAATATCTAATAATTAATTCCTTTCAAATATCAAATCTAAGCCTACTCTTCTTCAGCTTAAAGCCACTCTCTGTTGTCCTACCACTGCATGCCCTCAAAAATCCCTCACCAGCTCTCTTGTATGCACTCTTTACATACTGGAAGGCCACAATAAGGTGTCTGTTGAGGCTTCTCTTCCTCAGGACGAAAAACCCCAACTCCCCAACTCTTTCACCCCGTCTCTTCAGGAGAGGTTCTCCAGCCCTGTGATGATCTTGCTGACCCTCATCTGGACCCACTCCAACAGCTCTATACCCTTTTCGTGCTGAGGACCTCAGAGCCGGATGCAGCCCTGCAGGCAGAGGGGCAGAATCCCCTCCCTCGACCCGTAGGCCACGTTGCTTTGGATGTGGCCCAGGACATGAATGTAATATTTTTTCCGCCACCCGCCTCCAAAATACTGAGGAAGTAGTTTATATCCGCGTGAAAGAGTGCAGAGCTTTTATCCGGCCTGGCCGAGCGGGCAGGGGGG